AAACCTGCGATCAAGATGTCTACTGTAACCTCTATGTCCTGTCCTAGTCATCGGGCTGTCTTCAACATTCCCTCTTGATAGCATGCAGCAACTAACGGAGCCAGGAGAACTGCCTTAGACTCATGTCTGCCCCTAACGATGCTGCACTGCCTCTCTGGCTGGATGTGGTCCTCTGAGGACTTCTTCTAGAGCGAGTTCCTCAACATCAGCACTACAGATTGACATTGTGGTTTGGATCATTGTTTGTTACAGATGGCTGTCCTGTTTTTCTTACTTTGGACACGCTAGTCCCTCTGAATAGAGTAGCTTCCTTCACTTCCTTACCTCCTTACCCCCATCTGTCTGAGAAACTCCAACTCTTCCTTTAAGACTGGACTGGAGTATCAATTTCCTTGTAAATAACTGCTAATTATGCCAGGAAGTCTTGGATGCTCCTTTCTCAGTGCTCCCTTTGCTTCACTGTGACCCTCAGCAATAGCTACTGAAATTGTTAATACATGCATCTGCCTCTACTATGCAGAGCTGAAGTTTTGTCAATGTATCCATAGTACCTGATAAATAATCCATGCTCTTTGAAGAATTTTTGAATAAATTAACTTCAACAAAAATAGATATAATCATTTGGGGAATGGATCCAAATATATGGCTTAGATCTTGGGTGACGGAAGCAGTTTAAAAAAAACCAACTTTGTGAATTATTTATGTTGTGAGTCAAGATAGAAGATTATGTCCTGTCTCCTCTGAGACCCCACTGAAATGAAATCATTTAAAGACAGAAGGGATTCATCAACAAAGAGACAAAGGGGAGTTAATTAGCAGATGAAATTTCAACAATTTTCTGGAAGACACAAAGCAGATGTAGGATCATCTTGTTGGATAAGCCAGGGAGATAATCTTGAGTCCAGATGTTACAAGAGCGCTATAGAGGATGTGCCAAACTCAATCTGCCATTGGCAACCTGGGAGAATCCCAGAGCTCTGAGTGTGCAGATACTGTGGAAGATTAGAATGGGAACCGGGACAGGAAACAAAGGGATTGCTTCATGGTCTGAATAGAGAACATCTGTGCCTATCTCCACCATTCTCCACCACTTCCTCCACACGGAGCAAAGGGGTTTACTAGTCTAGGAACCCTATAATTTTGCTCTGAAAATACCGAATTCACTGACAAAAGTGACATTTTAAAATATAGTCACTAGTGCCCCACAGTAAATCCTTTGTATCGTGACATTAGGAGACCACAACCTAAAAGCTCACTCCTATCTTCATCCCAAAGGGAGTTTGCCAGCTTAGCTGCCCCGCTGTACCACAAACAGAACGTGTGGTCTGCAGTTCCATTTCCACTCCACTTGGAAACTTGGTATGAAAATAAACTGGCTTACAGTTAGGAAGAAGACCCACACCATCCCCCACATCTTTCTTCCCCAATCACCAGGCATCTGAATCCAAGCAGCACACTGCATGAGAGAGAGTGAGTCGAATTAACACCACAAACAGATCAAAATAAATAAATGAAAAGTTGTGTCTGGAAGGAGAAAATGTAGGAAACCGATAAGGTCTTCTATTTACATAATCAAAATAAAAAAGATCAGAGAAGGCATTTTATTTAGAAATAGATGCTTAGAGAAAAAAATTTATATGGAACACGAAAGAGAGCAATCTCTCAAAAGCGTGAAGACCATATTATCAAAAGAAAAGAATTAATAAGAGATTTAGAGTACTGATGTCGGATCTACAACGATCAACTAATAGGAATCCCAGAACGGAAGTTGGGGGTGGGGGTAAGCGGAGGGGAGAGTCATGAAAACATAGGGAAGGAAATTATTGATGAAATAATAGAAGAAAACGTGTGGGTGCTGAGAAGGAACTTGAGTTTTCAGAACACCAAGAGCAAAAGGAAGATCCTAAAGGTTTCCCCAGGGAGATGGCAGAAGGTGGAGGGAATTACCTACCACGGCAAAAGACCCAGGCTGGTATCCAGCTTTTCAATAGCACAATTCAGATACGAAACTATTTTCAACCAGATAAAGCACAAAGTTAAACTATTTTCGGAAATGCAAAGGCTCAGAATCTTTACCTCTCAATCTTTGTTAGGAACATACTTAC